TGATTAATCTCGAGCTGCATCTTTTTTGTGCTCCTGTGTCTAATTGTTGTATTCTTGTGATCTTGTGGCCTTTTTTGTAATATGTAGTCGAATAAATCACATGATCAACAGATACAAGAATCCTATAGAAGCCTAACAAGGCAGCGAAGAAAAAAAGATTAAAGTCGGGGCGGGGCGAGGCGGGGAAGCGAAAAAAAATTTAAGGTCGGGGCGGGGCGAGGCTGGGAAAGCTTTTTTCTGGGCGGGGAACAAAAAATTCTCCCCGTTTCGGCCTCTGGTTAGCACTAGTATGGAGAGAGGACGAAACTGCTGTTTATTGACATTGACTCATTCTGCTATTATATATGTGTTTGCATTTATATCATATAGTCACGTTTTTCTTTTTTTTTCTTTGAGTATCAAACATAAATACATTCTTTTATCAACAACATATTCAATACATGGGACAGGCTTCGGCAAAATCTACTGAACACATGGGATCGGTAAAAGAGAGTCCTCAATCAAAATGCTCTATATGCGATAAAGAAAAAGTCGCGTATAAGTGTAGAGGATGTTCACAAGATTTTTGTTTCGATCATTTAGCAGAACATCGTGAAACGCTTATTAAACAATTCGGCCAGATCGAAAATGATCATAATCAGCTTCACCGAAGACTTATCGAACAAAAGAAAGCTCCAAGGAAACCTCCATCTATACAGGAAGTAGATAAATGGGAGAAAGATTCAATTAAAAAAATTAAAGAAGCAGCGAAGGAATCAAGACAAGCATTAATTCAACACCAAAATAACTATTTTAGCGAAATAGAAAAACAACTGTCTCAATTAGCTGAACAATTAGAAAAAATCCGTCAAGAAAATGAAGTACATGAGATTGATTTAGATCAAATCAAAACAAAATTAACAAAATTAGCAGAAGAACTTGGTCAATTGCCAAACACTAAGATTCAGCAAGATTCTGCATCATTTATTACAAAAATTTCAGTCATTTTATTACCTGGAAACCGTCAAGAAGAGAAAGTTACTAATATAGATTCAAACCGAAGTCAAACAAAATTATCAGAAGAACTTAATCAATTCACAAATATTTCAAATCCGGATGAGTCTGCATCCGTTATAAATGAGAATTCAATTAGTGCATCATCTGGTATGTGTGATTAAGATATCTAAATTAATGGAGAAGTATATTTGTAGAAGGAAATGGAATTTTTTTAAACGAGTTCACTAAAATCTTAACACAGAAAAATATCGAGTTTTATAGACTATTATTCAAAGACTATATTGTTATCTAAATTTCATGAAATAGAAAACATTACAATTTTGAAATGCTTTTATCAAAATTATTCTTTGTAAAATTTCTTTGCCAAATATGTCTTTTTTAATATAGGATTTTATTCTACATATATCATAACGAAACTAATATCCATTTCAAAATAGAAGAGCAGTGGGTATTTTTCGAATAACTTTTCATAGAAACAATATAGACTGGTGCGGTTTTCACCATTAGAAAGAGAAAACTTAGAAGCATCAATCC